AGAACGACGAGGATAACCTCCACGGAGTAATGGAAGTCGCCATGAGTGAGCTGAAGAACGAGGACAAGATGGGCCCGGAGGAAGTGGAGAGGCTGAAGGGGCGCCAGAAGCTCAAGGACAGCACCCAGACCATGCTGGATGGCACCGAGGTCTTCGCGGAGAAGTTCGGCCACCCCAAGTCGGAGGAGACGACGACGGCCAGCTCGGGCGGCCACCAGTGAGTGCGCCCACAGGAGCCTGCAGCTTGCCAAGAGAAAGCAGTCGCGAGGCTTCTCGGAGTGCTGATCCAGGCAAGTCGTGAGCTGGCCGTGCCCACAGGCAGTCAGGATAAGCATTGGCGAGGTTTCTCGGAGCGCTACTTATGGCAGACTACTTGGGCGCAACAGTACGCCTGCACCACCATCGTGGTGGGAAATATTTCTTACCACCTTCAGATACACATCTGGCAGGGTGTGTGGGAAGAACAAGGTGATCATCATGATGCCCACCTGCGTGCTCCTCATTGCCCCTACCTATGACCGTGACTTCCAGTGTGCTCCACCTCGCGCACTCCGAGGGGGAACTGAGCCACCTCGCAGGGTAGAGCACAGTGGCATCACATGGAGCATCTCTCGGAACGACCGAGAAGTGAGCTGAGTGGAAGAGGGGGGCACGGAATGGGTTGTTCTTGAATTGCATTCGTCGAGCGAGTGAGGGCCGCGAGGTTGCGAGCTTGCGATATCTGCAATCGCCACGGCTCAAGCCTTCTCCGTGGAGGCCTCAGGAGGCCTGCGCGTGAAGCCCGCGCGCGCGCCCCGTGGCCCGAGGCGTGGCGCTGGTCGCCTTTCACGTCTGCGCTGCCTGGCCGGGGCGCCTGCGGGGCGGCGCCCGCTCGCCGCCGGCCGCGACGGCGGCCCCAGAGGCGCCGAGGCTGGCGCCTGCCCCCGGCTCGCTGGAGCGAGGCCGCCCGGCGGCGGCGCCGCCCGTCGCGCAGGTCGGGGACCTCGGCGCTGCCATCGTTCGGTTCGCGCCTGCGCCGGCCCTGCCCGCCTGGGACATCTGGCCTGACCCCTGCCTGTGCCCCGAGTCGGAGGCAGGTGGATTGTCCAGGGGCGGCGAGTCGGGTTCCGGGCTTCTGGCGCTGCTCGTCTGGGAGGTCATCGCCGCCTGCGTGGCCGCAGCCTGCGGCCTGGCGCGCCGCTTGACAGGCGGCTTCTGGAGCTACCCGCGGTCGCCTCGGCCCGAGGAGATCGCCCCGCCGGCGCTGGAGGACGCCATCTATCGTCGCGTGCCTCGAGGACGTGGTCGGGTGCTGACGCTGGATGAACATTGGCGACGAGGTGCTGGTGGCGCGCGCTGTGCCTGGGGCTGTTCTGCTGCATCGCCGCGCGGTGGTGCGCGTCGGCGCCGCGCAGCCGCTTCGCGCGGCAGTGGTCTCGCCCGACCATGACTTCTTCGTCGAGCATGTCACGCCCGATGACGCCGACATCTCAGCGTGGCACCTCTGCGGCCCATCCCCGCCGCCGCGGCGGCCTGGCGATGTGCGACTTCCAGCCCGCGCTCGCGGCGCAGGAGTTCTTCGGCTCCACGCGGGAGGCCGACCGCCTCATCGCAGCTCGCGGCGCGCAGCTCGGGGCTGGAGGAGGCGCGTCTGCGGTGGCAGCAGGGGCGCCTGCCAGCGGTGGTGGCGGCGGGGGTCTCGGAGTCGGTGGCGGACCTGGCGGAGGCTTGGCTGCCCTCCTGGGCGGTGGCGGCGCGGCAGCTGCTGGCGGCGGCGGAGCAGTGGCGGGAGGCGGCGTCGGCGCCGTTGCACCCGTTGGCGCGGCGCCCGCCGCGGATGGCGGCGCTGTGGCGGGCGCAGCCTTGGCGGCCGCAGGCACTCCTGCGGCGGCGGCCGCAGTCGGCTGCGGAGCGGCAGCGGCCGCTGGGCCCCCAGCGCCCGCTGCTGGGCACGCGGGGCTTGCCGCGGCTTTGGCAGGCGCTGGCGGCTGAGGAGCCTCCCCTGGGCCCGCGGCTGGTAGCGCGGCGGGCGGCGCCGACTGCCGCACCCTGGCCGTCCTCTACGACGCGAACGGCCAGCGCCACAGGTCGTTCGCCGACGCCGTCGCCATCCATGGCTCTTTCGCAGTGGGCCGACTGGCCCGTTCCCGGACCCCGCGCCGTGGCCTGGGTGGCGCGTTTCATGCTGGAGAACGGCGGCAGCGCTCTTGGTCATCACGCGCAGTGGAGGTCGAACATCAGGCTCATGCTGGACGACATCACTGCGTCGACGCACTTGGAGTTCAGCAAGATCTTCGAGACGGCGCTGCGCTGCGACCAGCTGGACATCAGCAACCTCGGGGCTCTGGAGTTGGTGGCTCGACAACTGCAGTTGCGCGAGGAGGGCTACCGCGACGAGACCCTGGGCACGAAGGTCGGCGACGAGCCATCGGGACGAACGCTACTACTTCACGGGTGTGGCCACTACCCGAGGTCTCATATTGGCGCCGGAGCTCAGCACCTGGATCAGCGAGCAGATCTCCCGCGAGAACGCCATCGCCATCCCCGCGGGGATCGGCGCGCACCACAGAAACTTGAGTTTTGCCGATGTTGTCCTGGCACTGCTTGGCGAGGGACGTGTGTCCGAGCTTGTTGTTGGCAAGAACCATCATCTCCTCGAGGTCGGCCACTCCCTGCGTAGATGATGTAGTGCGCTGTGGCCCAGGAGCCCGAGGAGCAGCAGGACAAGGGCATCGCCGGCATCGGGGGCATGAGCTGGAGGAGGCGCTTGATGTCCACGGATGGTGTCGCGACTCTTGCAGAACCAGAAAATGGAGAGATTCTTGGCACACTTGCACTTTGGGTCCTCGCGCACCCAACGTGGTGCTGGAGCACGCCGCGCATGTAAGGCACGCCACGGTGCACCCACACTGCGCCGCAGCGGCCGCAGCAGCGCTGCGCGGAGAGGCCCAGGGCGACGAATGGTTGAAGCTTACGGGTGTAACAAACGTAGAAGACGCAGCCGCCACATTGGCCCGCCAACGCCAGACCGTTCCCAAGAAATACGGTGGGCAATTCGGGCCCCCCCTGCCCCGAGAGGAACGGTTCAGGGGAGGAGGAGGAGGAGGAGGGGGAGGAGGAGGAGGAGGAGGAGGAGGAGGAGGAGGAGGCGGAGGAAGAGGAGGAGGAGGAGGAGGAGAAGAGGAGGAGGGGGAGGAGGATGGGGAGGGGGGGAGGATGGGAGGGGAGGAGAAGGAGGAGGAAGGGGAGGGGGAGGAGGACGAGGAGAATCAGCAGGAGCAGGAGGAGGCGAGGAGAAAGAAGGAGGCCAGCGGCACTGGGGACACACACGCACACACACACACACGCACGCACGCACGCACGCACGCACGCACACACACACACGCACACACACACACACACACACACACACACACACACACACTCGCCTCAAGAGGAGAGAACGGGCTGACAGTGAGATGCAGCAGCGGGAGGGACGGCCCCCCCCCTCCATCCTCCCAATCCTGCCCCGCGTCCGGGACGCCGAGGGGGCCTCTGCGCGTGCACCGCGGGCGCGATCGCGCCCGAGAGCTACCCACTCCACGCACGCCTGCCTTTTGACACACAGCGCGCATAAGAGGGCAGGACGGAGGCCAATCGGCAACAAAAAGGAGGGGAGGAGGCGGAGGGGATGGGGGAGGGAGTGGGAGGGAAGGGTGGGGAGAAGGGAGGGAGGGGGGGGGAGGGAGGGAGGGGGGGAGGGAGGGATGCAATGAGGACGTCGTCGTTGACGTGGGCCCTGGACCGGGGGCCCTCTGATGCTTTCGCCAGAGGCCGTCACTTGGCCCAATGGCGGCGCCAGGTCCAGGTTGTCGTGTTTGCTTAACCTCCCCACCAAAAAACAACCCTAAAATCGACGACGGCCATGGCGACTGCCGCGACGACCAAGACCAAGACCACGACGACCACGACCACGACGACCACGTTGTCGTCGTGGCTGGCCCGGGGGGCCCAGGGGTCGGGACAGGGGCCCGCCGTGGTCTCTGCGGCGTCACTGGGCCCAGGCTGCGCTGAACGTGTGGTGCCTCCAGAAAGGGCCGCGCCTCCGCGAGATCGAGAAGCCGACGTCCTTCTTCTTCGGCGGAGGCTGGCGGAAGGCCGGCGGAGGCAAAGCGGGCCGGCTCCGCCTGCGGAAGGCGGCGGAAATCAAGATTTGCTACTCCAGAGATGCAGGCTTGTTCAGGATCCAGGGCTTCCAGGATCGGCCATGGGGCGCCTCCTTTTACCATCGGAGGGCGCCAACCAGGCCCATCCTGGGCCCAGGATCGGTGCATATGCCCTGCTTGCCAAGCCATGAGATACACCGAGCCTTCGCCCAGGATGGCCCTGGCCAAGACCTGTGCCGGTGTGCAGTCACATGGTTGGCACTCTCCGATTCCAGGTCGCCAGCAGGGACGTGAAAGTGACTGCGCTTCGCGACTCGCGGCCTGACAGCGGTGTCTTCGTCTTGTTGGCCATCGGGCCTCCCCCCCCTCGTCGCCACGGCTGAGCGCAGTTCGAAAGGCTGGTCAGGACAGGCCCTGGGAGGGGTGCGGAGACTCATTCTGAACGGATCTTGGGCGAGGCCCTTTCCGGCCACCCGCGGTGGCGCGAAGGTGGCCGCATTTCGCACCGTGCGGCCTGGGCCGCAGAGGTGCCCCTCTCCAAGGCGGGGCGCGGTGTCGCAAAGGTGAATGCGCATCGAGAGGCGCGATGTGCAAAGTCAGGCGGCCTAGGTTTCAATCCAAAGAAAAGGTCGTCGCTTGCAGCGGGCATCTGCGCTGGCTCAAAGCTCTCGAGCCCAGGGCAGCCCCCTACTCGTGTCCGCGTCTGCGGGATCAAGCCTGGGTGCGCTCTGGGGTCCAGCGAGGGGTCGCCGATCCATCATCTTGCCTCGAGTCCACTGTCGCTCTGCGTGGAGCGATCCTGCTCGAGGGCAGACGCGGATGGCTTGACCGTAAGGCACAACTGCCGCTCCCAGAGGTGTAAGCAGATCCACCCGTAAGCATGTTTGCTCAATCTGTTTTGGCCTGGGCACGGGTTCTGCGCTGAAGATAGTTAGTTCTTGCAGCGCCATCCTGGCACACCACAAGAGTGTTGCGAGACTCTGGTTCACCCTCAATGCCTGCGCCTCGGCCCGAGCAACAATCTACCACTGCGGCTTCTAAAGCAGCCAGTCGTTCAGTGCATATAATGGCCTTCGGCCCATCTCGCCACCGTGCCAGGGTTGTGGTGGGCTCGATCGGCGGGGGGGCCCAGAGGAGCGCACCGCCCGATGTTACAGTAGGGCGGCGTGTTGTTACAGTAACGGTGGGGCGACGTTACAATAGGTTGGCCTGGCGATGCGCGGCAGGGAATTAGACCCTGAAGGCGCATCATAAAATGGAGGAAGTATCTGGCGATCTCCCAGATCTGAGAAGAGGAATCGCCCTCAATGCGTGTACCGCTGAGACGTTCCAGGAGTCAGGGCAGCGGCGTGCAAGGGGAGCTGGAGAAGGCGATGAAATCGATGTCGCCATTCGCCCCCCCCTCTCAACCGCTACATCTGCTGCGACGGCAACAGACTATGAAACATCAGTCGCGGTTGCGTCGGCATCAGCCACACCAGGAAGAGCAATGGCAACAAACGGAGGCGGGGCAGGGGGACGGGGGCAGGGGAACCATTCATTTTGAGTGAATTGCTTTTTCAAGCCATCCTGCCAGAGCAGAATGTCAAGTCAGACGGTCGTCGTGGGGAGCCGGAGTTCGACCCCAGAGTTTCGGTCACGCTCGCAGGACAGCCTCTTAGATTAATTCTTTTTTCGCAAGGGTCTGGGGTGGGCGGGGGGGAGAATTGTGAACCGATGGATGCCAGGTCCGCTTCCACATCCAGTGGCGCCTCCTCCCCGTTCCCCTCCTCGCTTAATTTTGTCCTCCCTCAGCCGCTTTAGTTCTAGCCATGTTGGCCCAACGCGGCGCAGTCGGTGATTGGCGTTAATTGGTGCTTCGCGCTCTTGTCCCCTTTTCGGGGGCATCTAGGAAATTGTGCGTTGAGTTTACGTCTCTCCCGGTTCGGCCTTGGTTGCCGCAGGTCTTTGGTGGGCGTTGATTCCTGCGCCTCTCGCAGATCCGTGCATTGCTCATTCTGTCAAGCGTCTGCGCCCCGAGATGGAGGCCCATCTGTCCCAGCTCTTGGTTCTTTCGACCCCGCCGTCTCCCTTGCGGGATCCGAGATTCAGGGCGGCATTCGACAGGCGACGGCTATGTCGTATTCTCCTTGCTCTGGGGACGCTCGGGGCCGCCCCTTCTTCCCCTCCTCCCTCTGTCCTTCGCGTACGTGTTTCGGTGTCCTTGTGCATTATGTTTAATTGTTCTTCGTGGTCCGCGCACATTTGTTTGCTCCTCCATTCTTCTCCTCCGGGGCGTTGGGGCTGAGAAATCGCCAGCCATTGGCTGCAGCGCTCTGGTTTGGTTGAAGTTGCGCGTCGCCTCTTGGTGGCGCGATGGCGGTGGCTAGCTATGTCGAGTTACTGTGGCATTGTGGTTGTTCGGGATGCTGCGCCTTTTGACGTTGCTGTAACATTCTTCTTCGCTTCGTGAAGTTACTGTGACATTTGCGGCCTCGTGGTCTTACTGTCGCATCAGAGTTTGTGTTTTGCGATGGCTTCTGGCAATGTTTCAGTAGCTTTTCCTCTGTCTGTGGGCGCGGGTGTCCCAGAGTTACAGTAACTCGCGGGGGCACTGCGATGCGTCGCCGCTCGTGCTGTAACCCCTGGCCCAATCCCCACGCCTAGTGTTACAGTAACACCCCCCTGTTGTTGCAGGGCGCCGTTGCGCGATCCTCTTCCCCCACCCCCGCCCCGAAAACGTTACAGTAACTGTCCGCGCGTTGGTAGCGCCGCTCGGCTGTTGGAGATTGCAGGCCTCCGTGCCCACTGCTTTTGTGTTGTGCCGATCGGCGCCCAGATCAATTGATCTGCATGTGAAGCCGGAGTGATGCATTCCGTCGGCACCAGAAGTTTGGTGATTCGCGTTTGTCCCGTTGTTTCGCAAGTTCTGGCTCGCGGGCTGGGGCATCATGCGAACAATGGTGGTTGGCTCCACATGGTCTGTCAGCCATCTGTAACCGTTGGCTTGCTGGCCCTGGGCGTGCCGGCCCATCCGCCATCGCGTCCCGGCCTCGTAGCCGCTATAGCCGATAGACGCGCGCCAGAAGAATGGCCGTCCCAATCTTCGCCCCGACCGATTTGTTCCGGGGCTACGGTATCGCAACTCCCGGCGCGCTGGTCCACCCGCTGTCTCACGGGTGTTCCTTCCGTCGGAGTCCTCCCGCGGAGATCCATGGCACGAGTTCCTTCGGCCACCGCGCGAAACAACCTCGTCTCAACCCCCCCCGCCTCTGCAGCCTCCACGACCTCCCCCTCCTCCAACTCCTCATGCTTTCTTCGCCCGCGGCTGCGGTGGAAGGTCGCCTTCTCTAGCCCCCCCGATTTATGGCGAGACGCCCGAGTTGGCTGCCCGACAGCTCGTGCGCGAGACGGGCTGGGGACGAGGGGGGGGGGGAGGCGGAGGAACAGGAGGAGGAGAAGGAGAGGAAGGACGGATCATGGTGACGATCTAAACGGTCGACGCGGGAATTGCGGACCTTGCGCGAGACAGCTTAGCTTGCTGAGCGACCTGTGGGCCCCGACTGACAGCGCGACGTTACACACGGGGTTAGGAGCGAGGATAAGGAGGGAGAGGAGGAGGAAGAGGAGGAGGAGGAGGAGGAGGAGGAGGAGGAAAAGGGGGAGGAGGAGGAGGAGGAGGAGGAGGAGGAGGAGGAGGAGGAGGAGGTAGAGGAGGACACATCACTTGTGACAAGGCCGCTGAATTTCTCCATTGGTTTCCGGCCGAAGCAGCGTCACTGACTTTAACGCCCATCTCGTCACCATGTTGGCAGTAGCTGCCCAAGGGTGGTGGTAATCAGATCGCTCGTATCGTGTCCCTGTTGCGCCCACTGCCTCTCAGGATTCTGCTGTGGATCACCACGAGCTTGATGGCGAAAGCGCCCTGGTTACTGTAACTTAGGTGTTCGGTGCCGCTTCCAAGAGCAACGCGGGTTACAGTAACATGTTGCGTGGCGGCCACCAAACGTAGTGTAACTTAGCATTCTCGGGGCTCTAGAGACTTTGTCTGAGGGATCGCAGGGATGCTTCTTTGTATCTCTTCGGGGCGCTCTCGGGGGCCTCTTCGGGGCAATTTGGGGGCCTCTTGGGAGCCTCTTGGGTCCTGTTGAAGGCCTCCTGGGGGCCTCTTGGGGGCCTCTTGGGGCCTCTTCGGGGCCTGTTGGGACCTCCTGGGGGCCTCTTGGGGCATCACGGGGGCCCCTCGGGGCCGAGGGCTCGAAAAGTCTGTTCGGGTCCCATCTGGGCCCCTTGGAGCCGTCTTGGGCGCCTCGTAGGCCGTCCTGGGGCCCTCTTAGAGCCGTCTTGGGCGCCTCTTGGGCCGTCTTGGGGCGATCTTGGGGGCCTCTTGGGCTGTCTTCGTGCGTCGGAAAGCCGAAAAGGCTAGAATACAAAACACTATCAAACACCGATGGAGAATTCGTGATTGTTGCATGTTTGTGCCTTCTTCAGATGACTCTTGGACACCTCTTAGGGCGTCTGGGAGGCCTCCTCGGCTGTCTTGGGGCCTGGGCGTTTTGGAGCGATTATTATGCGTCTCGAAGCCCTGTTGGACCATCTTGGGAGTCTTTCGGAGCTCTCTTGGCCCATCTTGGGGCCCTCTTGGGCCAGAGAAAATAATGCGGGGAGACTCGGGGGAGCCCTGGGGGCACGCGGCAAGCTCCGTCTCGGGACTGAGAATTGAGGCTTCAGGGATTGGGCAAAGGACTTGAGGACACGCTAACTCCGTGCCCAGCGGAACGGAGGCGGATAATATTGGCAGTATCTTGGGTGTGCGGCGACAAATGCGGCCTGATGCGCGACTGCTGGCACTGATACTGGTCTACTTCACCGTGTTCGTGGACATCCTTGGCGTGGGGCTGCTCATCCCCGTGCTGCCCTTCCTGGTCGGCACCAGGCCAAATCCTGATGCGTTCGCCCCGGCTTCTATGTTCAACCTCAAGCCTGGGGCCGCTATGGCATTGACGCTGGTCTCGTACAACGGCGCACAGTTCGTCTCGGTCCTCGTGAACGGGCCGCTCTCCGACCGCTTCGGACGGGTTCCCTTGCTCCTGTCATCGACAATCGGCGGGGCCATCGGATATGCACTGCAGGGGGTCACAATCGCAGTCGGCAACTTCCCGCTGTTTATTGCCGCACGATTGCTCACAGGGCTTTTCGGCGGCTCCCGTGCGGCCGCCGTTGCGTACATTGCGGACTCATCGTCGCCCGCAGAGCGGCCGAGGCTGATGGGCCTGCTCGCTCTTGCGGTGACGCTGGGGTTCCAGATCGGCCCCGTTGTGGGTGGATCGCTCGGCTCAATACACTTGGCGTTGCCGTGCTATTCTGCTAGTGGCGTCTCTGCGGTTGGCACTTGTCTTGTCTATTGCTTCGTCGCGGAGCCAGGCTCCGCGGGTGGGCCACGCGGGCACCGCGGCGGTGGCGCGGGCGATGTGCAGCCCAGTTATAAGACGGCGTTCGCACTGAATTTGGTGCTCAGTTTTTGCACTGGCTTCTGGATTATGTCGCAGCTCCTCGGTTTCGCTCTCCTCATGCCAGAGAGGTTCAATTTCGACCCGAACAAGGTTGGTCTTGCGTCGCTGGGCGACGGATTGATGATCCTCTGTGGGAACCCGTGCTACATGTATCTTGTCAAACGTGTTCGGATTCCCGTCATTGCCGCCATTGGGTGTGCGATGATGGCAATGATATCAATATGCCCATTCATGAATGATCTCGCCCCGCTGTTTGTCTTCCGCTATGTGTGCGCCATCGGTGGACCAATGGCCATCCCAAGCGTCACAGCTATCGTCTCCATCATCGCGCCAGCAAAAAGACGTGGCGCATGGACGGGCATGACGATGGGGGTGCAGAACTTGGCTCGTACGGTGGCGCCAGCTGTTCTCGGCGTCACCTTCGATGCTGACTACAGGGTGCCATTCCTTATTTCAGGCGGTATGATGCTTGTCGCATTCACGGCCTGCGTCGCACTCATTCCGATGGTGCCAAGTGCACATCTTGCCAAGCCTGCTGGGAAGCCAGCTGAAGACTCGGATTCCGAGTATCCTGCGGCCGAGAGGTCCGAAGTCGCCATTGAGATGGATGAGGCATCAGATGGACAAGCGCAGTCGAGTGAACCCGACGAGTTGAGCGTGCATGCTGAGGCGTTGCTTGTAAAGCTGCGCGCGCAGCAGAATGATATCAGACTTAAGCTTCGAAAGGCCAAAGATGGACAAGGCGAGTCTGAGGTGGTATCCCAGCACACTCCGGAGCAACGTGCGCACGCGAAAAACGAGCTGAACGATTGGCTTGTAATTTTACTGGAGTCGCACGGTTGGGTCAGGTGGCCTGAGCACCTCGACGGAATAAAGATGATTCTTTTCAATTCCTTTCCAAAGTTGCGTATGACGTCCACACTAGATAAGCTGTCTGACTTGATCGAGGTCTTTGGCAATCACATCTCCATGGCGGAGCGATATGACATGTTTCATGGTGCCGACGACTTGGGGACATACAGGCCAGCTTGATTTCAGCATCGATGTGCGCGACGTGTCTTGCGTTTGTTCCTTATTGTGCTTTTTCAAGACTTCGCTATGTGCCCGAAGACCTTTTGTTGCTCAGCCGACCTTACAAGGAGTGTCGGCAAGCAACGATCGGAGTCGGCAGGATACCGCGGGCAAGTTGTCAACGCACACCGAGACACTTTTTGCCGTGATTCTTTCAACACGTGACCCCTAGACCTCATGATCCGTTCCCTCTGACCAGTCCTTTGCCCTGGGTCGTTTGTTGATGGTCTCGGGGCCCGAGAAATCGCCCAACGGATGCCGAAAACGTCGCAAAATAACGGTGCGATCTTTTCGGGTCGCCAGAGGTCTGGGTAGACTGCACTCCTTTTCCTCGTGCAGCCATTTAGGCTCAAGCCTTGCCCATTCTGCCCGGCCCGGTTCGCCGGGGGGCCGATGGAGCCCGAGCAATGGCGGCGGTGCTTGGGCTTCTCGGAGGAGCATGCGGAGGACGACGCCCGCGAGCACGGTGCGTGCCTGGAGCGGCTGAAGGCGGGCATGAAGGGGGCGCTGAAGTTCGGGTTGGGACCCAGCAGCGCCACCAGCGACGCGGCGCCAGCGCTGGAGCTGAGCTCGAAGGGGGCAAGAGCGGCACAGGCATGAGCTGTCGGAGGCCCGCGCGGATCTCCTGGATCGGCGTTGGACCCCCCCCACTCCCTGGCGCGCTCCGCGCGCCAGGGGTCCAGGGGCGGCGCCAGAGGCGCCGCCAGAAGGTTGCAGCGCCGATCCAGGAAGTCCGCGCGGGTCTCCGAACGTTTACGCTCACCCCTGGGAGCGGACGCTCAGTCAGTCAGTAAGCCGTGCGTCCAGTAGGACGCGTTGGCACAAGCCTGAGACACGCCAAACAAATTCAACATCGCGAAGCACACGACCGGAGACATATAGGTACCGAATCTTCCTGCGACAGTTTTGACCAGATCGATCTGTGATGGTTCCAGGGCCCGAAACCTGTCCAAAACGCCCGGTGCGAAAACAATTGCAACGTCCAGATCTCAGGGACGCCGTTCTTTCTCCTTCCGCCGTCGAACGCATACTGCAGGGCCAGGCGTGCTCTTTCGGGAACCACATGTTCGGCGCGCGCCAGGCCACGTATCAGCCTTTTCCTGTTCCCTTCCCTGCTCCTCTGCATGCCTCATCCCTCCCTCCCGCCCGGAGTTCAGCAAAGGAGGTTGCAAACCCGACTTGTCTGGCTGTTGCTTTGGGGAAGGCCTATGCCTGCAGGGGAGGCTGCAGCACCGCTCAATGATGAGCTGTTAACCGAACCTGCAGAGCGGGCCCTTTCCATTTGAGGGAGTCACCCCGATCTTCTCCGTAGGCCATTCGCCGTTGGCCTCTCTGGAGCTCCGCGCGCGCGCCTCCTCCATCCTGCAGGACATTGGTGGCGCAGCACGATCGTAAGCGAAACAAGGAAATTCGGCGCGCGGCAGGCCTGCGTCGTCCTGGTGCGCCTGCTGCGGCTGCTGCCGGAACCCTCCCTGGAGGCCGCCGAGCGCCCGCTCGTCAGGGTCGCGGCCCGGCTCGTGAGCCAACTGGGCGTCCAGGACCCTCGAGGGCGTCGGACGGGCCGGGTTCCTTGCCAGACTTCCAGCGCATGGAACCAAATTCAGGACGGAGTTTTTTTTTTTTTTTGTTGTTTTCGGCGTCAGGGGGCCCTCCTAGGCCTTGAGACTGTCAGAAAACGATCCAGGACGAAAAACGGGCCCACGGGAAGTGGTCCAGAGCTCTGGGGGCCCCGTACTTTGAAAAGATCAGGGCATCGGAGGTCTGGGTTTCGATCCGATCGACCTGCTTCAATATCGACTTCGACCCGCTCGATCCGAATCGGTTCCGCTTTCCCGATCTGGCACGGCCCAATGTTGGCACGGTGTAGTTGCGCATCCTGGTGCGGCCGGTCCTGTCCGATTTCGATTCCGTGCCGATGTAGGCCGATCCGACTCACATTCTGATTCGATCCGATTTCCCGATTCGATGCTGACTGATTCTGAGAAGGAGGTGAGGATCAGAGGTGGCTTGTGTAGACCGTGATCGGAGGGGCGATCTTCTGCCCAGATCGGGAGGCGTCGAAAAGGATGGGTGAGACCGGGGGCGCTAGAGGTCTTGGGGGTTCCTCGCCTCGGGATGTTTTCCAGCAGCTGCGCCTCGTCTAGGGCTTCTCTGTGGGTGCCCCGAACGTCCCGAACGGCCGCCGGAAGCCCGAGGTATGGCCCGCAAGACACCCACACCTCCGACGGCTTGAACAAAATCAAGGCGGGGTTTGTGTTGTCGTTTTCGGTCTCTGGTGGCCCTCGCCTGGCCCTGGGACCGTCAAAGACCACCCGGGATGAAGAGCTGGCCCCAGGAAGGGATCCAGACATCGGGGGGTCTACGTTGCAAAAACATCGCGACGTTCGGGATCTGGGGAGAGGGGTGAGGACTTTGGGTGTGTGGGTACTTTAAGCGAGGTTTAAGGAGAGGCTGTATAGCGAACGCTATATCCGACGGCGTCTTGGCTCAAGGCAGCGCTGTCCTGTTTGCTAATTGCACCGCCGTGTGTGACTCTATTGGGGTCATAGTATCGGACAAAAGGCCACGTCTATGTATGATCCGGCCCTCTATCCCATGGCTTCTCTCTTATGTCTTGTCATGTTTGCCATCAAGGGATGAGTTGTGGGATACCTCGGTACGTCTGCGACGTTATCCTAAGAGTCGGGTTCTCAGCTTGTAATCTCATGGTCAAGCCCTGCACCTTGACTTTTCACTTGGCAGCGGAACTGGCTACATCTTCATGTGCTTAGCTCTTGCGTCAGGTGTTTTGTACATCACAACTTACCACGGCACAGTGGAATACCCGACTGCGCCGGTTCTCAGCCACTATACTACAAAGGTTATCGGACCAATTGGTAACCTACAGTCCTATACATCCATCTCCCCACCGCGTGGCCACACGCTGCGTACAACTCAAGCACCGATATATGTTTATGTATATATATATATATATATATATATCCGCAAACTGACGGCCACGTCACACCCGGCACCCAGCCGTAACCGAACGGACGCGACAATATCCAACGATGAACAACCGATTATCAGCGGCTACAACATGATCTTGCACTATGTTAAGGTCGCCATCTTCGGAACTATTTGAGCATGCCTGCGCTTTGCCGTGGCGTGCATGCGAGGAGGATGACTGGATGAAACACGCGCTCGAGGTCCATTCTGGGACCCTGCAGACAACGCATTCATTCGTGACTGTGTCTGCGAAGTTCACGCATGGCTCAACGTCACAAGCGGAAGCATGACTCCACCTCAACAGGCCCCTGCTTTGCAGCGTGGTCTGGGAGGATTGGTTAGGACACTAGGGTGCCATCTACCATCATCAACTATGGCGTCACCTCACAGGGGAGACGCACCGATGAAGTCACATACATCATGCACCTATTGGGTATTAAGCTCGAAAAAACCTTGAGGACGAGCGACAGCTCACCTCGGGGACAGCCCTCATCGACTTCAGGGTCGATGCAGGTGAACGCGTTGAGTTAGTACTGGCCCGATTCGAGATAGCCAGGCTAGAAGCAGACCCAACAGGCTTCAACATTCCCAACTTCCAGATCCACACCGTGATGCCATTTCGCGCCCTGGGAGTTGGTGCATCCCGCGCGGCACAGCCATTGCCGCCGCTGAACCATCAGATGCCCCGTACACAACGACAGTACGACCAACTCCTGGAGCGAATGCGCAGCCGTGGACACGTGGGCGAGCGTTCCCCATGCAACATCGGGAGCTGCTGTTTGCAGGCACCCACCACAAGGTGAAAGAAGCAGCTGGCAAGTGGGATCCAGACCCAATGACAAATATTCTCCGTCCACGCCTGGAGGAGGCAAGGGACTGGATCACAGGCAGCCCCAACGTGTCAAGGGCAGCCACGCCGAGAGAAAAATTGAGGCACTATGCCGATTACGGAAAACACGCCACAGGTCTTCCACATTGGAGACCCTAGCTCGTCGTCGCACAACACCGCCGAGCAGGGTACCAGTGGGGGCAGGACGTACTCGAGCGACAAAACGCTACGCATCTTCCCCCACATCGATGAACCCGTTGACGGGGGCAGGCGGGTCATCCGGCAAAGCGTGCTTTCTACCTGAAGGGGGCCAGATGCACGGACCCGCGCCTTGTAACTGAGAACAACGTGGACACACGCCCCACAACCAATGTGGAATCATATCATTTTAGAGTTTCGGTCATAGAAGATATCCGCGCGGCGTTCGCCGAACAGCGCCGTCGAGGATACATGTTCGACCGCGTCGCGCGCAACGAGGTAATGACGTCGACGGGAACACAGTGCCTTGGAGGAGTTTTGTCCGGAGGCTACACTCTACTTCGGGTGGCCGCACCCGTTGATCGGCATGTTAGGTAGCCGAGCAAACGGGCTGGGCCACGCCACGCTACGATAGTTCACGTAATCTCCTGACCAAAGCACAGGCTCTAAGGGTGCAAATAGTCGTGATAGGACCGCGCAGATATTTCTGGAAATTAGCTCCAATGCAAGAAGCCCTCCAGAGCCTCAAACTCACAGATATCTGGATGCGCTCATGTCATTTCGGCATCAAGCTTGATCATGCCAACAGGAGACCCAGTGGCTCCTATCTGCAGATATTTACATCGCACGCGCAATTGGCAAAAACACTATGGAGATATAAGTGTTCAAATACCAAGGAGCATGTATTAGACTGGTACGGACACGATCAGCAACGCGCCGACTGGCGAAACGAGACAATGACATTCCCGACAGTACAACTTGTGGACCAATTTTGCAAGGACGCAAACACAACCAGACAAACTTACGCACACGTGTTTACCCGCACCGATACGAACGTACATAAGTACCTACAGCACAGCGACAGCGGGCCACGCTGGGACGATGCAGCGCGCCGGGCTACACTTGACCTGGACAAAATAAGGCAATCGAATCTATTCAGGTCAAGGACCAACAAACCAGTTATAAGTGGAAAGCACCTTTACCCAGCGGATGTCATAGTCTATGCACGAGACTACATTGGGCAACTGCTCCCCAATTTTGCTCGGACACTGGCATGCGCCGCCAAGCCGCAAGAAACGGGTTGCGTTCATCGAAGAAGATTGTTCCCCCCACCGTCTCGATTGGGCTTGCAGGCGGGGGCCTATCCCCTATTCCGACTTTTCCGGTTTTTCCGATGTTAGTGGACACCAAACATACAAGCAGCACTACCACTTGATGCCCGGCTAAAGCAGACGGACAAATCAGAA